CCCCCCCCCTCACTATCATTTTCTCTTAATTTTCACTTCCGTTAACACAACATTTTCCATTTTCTTTCAAATTTTGCGAGATTCACCGAACACCCTGTGATCATCGAAGAGAAGTTCAGCTCCTGCGACCTAAATAGTTTGGTTTACAACGACAAGGGTTATCTCATGGTGGTTCAAAGTTTCAAGTTTAAGCATAGATTTTCAAGTTTGGTTATTTAAAGACAAGAAAGTGAGGAAGAAATTTTTAGCAGATTATATTATGGAATCATGATACTTCAAAACTAATCAAAAGTTATAAATGTTTTAAATTTATACTATGCATAATTTGCTTTTTCTATAAAATTTTTGTTAACAGAAGTGGAAATTAAGAGAAAGAGAAAAAGTGACAGTGGGGGGATGGTGACTTGCTGTTGAGAATGAAAGGAAAAGTGAAAGTGAGAGGCGATTGTGATTAAGGTTTTAAAAAATACAAAGTAAAATTGGTAAAAGTAAAAAGGGTAAATTTAGAATTTAAAAAAAATTGGGGAGGTGTAGGAGAAGATGGGGTGGTGGAGGAAGCATCACTCTAACTGAATGTTAAAACCTCGTTTAGAGAATACCATATTTCGAAATCTGATTTAGAGGACACTGTATTTCAAAATTCTTTTAATAAACTCAACGAATTTAGAAAGTCAACGAATTTCAAAATTTGATTTAGAAAGTTATTGAATTTCGAAAACCAATTTAGGTAGCTCACTAAATATTGAAATTATATTAAGAAAACTCATCATATTTCCAAATTCGGTTAAGCTTTCTCCCATATTTCCTAATCTGGTTAAACTTTCTTTCAAATTTCGAAATCTGATACTTCTTTTAATACTTTTTTTTAAAAAAAATTTAGTTTTAAAATTTGTTTTGCATATGTTTTATTTTGTGAATTTCTTAATCTCTAGTTATTACTATTACTGAACAAATGAGGTATTCTATGATTACTATAGTTATAGGTGATTACAACTTAAGATGAAATGTTATCCTTTAAGTTTTATATCCCACAAGTAAATTTTAGTTTCAGCCAAGATTATCTTCTTTTATAAATAAAATATGCGAGGGAGATTACAAAAATAACTTTACAATTGATAATATTTTTCTCAAGCATATCTACCATATGGCTAGAGGTCTTTGAAGAGCATCAAATATGATACACGGATATACGTGACACTTTAATCCGTAAAAATTGTACATCTAAAAATATACAATACTGGTTCTCACAATAATTGTTATATAGGTCTCTTAATCAGCTTAGTCTTACATGAGAACCACAACTTTGCTTGAGCTCATATGTAGCCTTTGTGCAGTCTACCCCAATACATTAGAGTTTCTGAAGCTGCTTCAAAGTATATAGGTTCATTTAGACATAACTCTCCCATTATAGACAAATGTAGCATGGTAAACACGTCATCTAGTGTGACAATCATCTCACCAATAAGGACATGAAAAATATTTGTCTCTCTATGTCATCTCTTAACAAACGCCAATATCAACTCCTTATCGACGTAATCATACGAAATATCACAAAGAGACATTAAACCAAAATTCAGCATATAATTTTGGATAATGAATTGACATGCTCTAAATTTATTTAATTTTTTTTCATGGGAGACCAACTTTATCTTTTCTCAATCCCACACATAATAATTGCAAATAAAATTTAAACAAGTCATCAACCATAAAAAAAATTACTAATACAGTTTTTTCATAATGCATATGCAATGTGGTCAACATAGCTTGTTAACAAAAAAGTGTCGTGTAAACCTCCAAGATATCTAACTACTTCATCTTCTTCGTGAGCAACATTGTCATATTGCTCAATAACCTCTTCGTGATTTTCAATAACATCTTTCTAAATATCAGCACCAACAAATGTTGCAACTTCTCCAAATTCACTATCACGACACATTCTACAAGCAGATGTCGTAGGTCTCATTTTAGTTTCACATTGTGTAAAACTCTCATTCCGATTTATAGAGACATCTCATGTTCTTATCATTTCTAGAACAAACAAATTCAACCAAAGATTAAAACAAATACACATAAAAAATAATTAACTTTAAAGAGAATAACACATAAAATAAATTATAAACCTTAAACCATAAACTTTATCTAAGAATACAAAAAATCAATAAAATTAAACAAATAAATAAGAATTAAAAATAAATTAAAAAAATTTCAAAAAAATAAAAAATAAAAAATAAAAATATTAAATATATATATATATATATATTTATTTATTTTATTTTTAATATTTTCAATCTAAGACTTCCAAAAATTTAGAATAAATTTGCTATACTCATTTTCAGTTACATTTTTATTTTTATGAAGCGTAAGTAATACGAATGATTAGTGATATAGGGAATTTGAGGATAGAAAAAAAGTAGGACTTTTATAAATTTTAGAAGCTTTAAAAGGTTTCTAGTAATGAAATATTTTAATTTCTCTCTTAATTTTATAATACATTTATTAAAAAAAATTATTTAAGGTAAATGGGCTAAATAATAATTAATAATAAAATATTAATAGCGAGTTATCTGAAACTCCTTTTTAGACATTTGATTTATTTGAAAATTACTAAATATATGTTTTTATTAGAGACTAAAGTAGCTATGGTGAGTTGCAAGAAATATTACCTTTCAATTTTGTTTATATTTATTTATTTATTTTAGTCTCTAAACATGATTTTAATTTATTTCGGTCATAATAAATATTAATTTAAGAGGTATTGAAGATAAAGTCGAATAAATATACAAAAAAGAACGCAAAAAATGATTTCAATGTGAGATTGAAGAGTAGAGGGCTTGGTCCAGTTCAAAAGTACAAGAGTGCAGTTGGGTGAAAAACTCATTTCACTCTCTCTTTCAATCAATTACCCACTTAACACCATTCCACTCATTCAATTCTGGTACTTCCTACCACTGGCCTGGTTCGCTCGCGATGAAGAGGTCATTTCCATGGGATAATCAAATTGATTTGTCTTCTTCTTCACTAAACTCCACAGGTATTCCTATCATGTGGAAACTCTTTTTTAGAGTTAGGGTTCTTCTTTTTCTTTTGTTCTTAAAACAGAATCAGTTGTTCGGTTTCTCTTTTGGATATCAGAAAATCTATATTCACTTTACCTTGTGTGTCACGTGTAGTTTGAGATAGGAAGCGTGTATCTGAGTCCCGTGAGTGTGCGTCCGTCGCGCTGAAGGATTTGTTCCTTAGGGGTGGTTTTGCGAGAGTGAAAAGAAGTTAGAGTTATGGAAAAGGGTATTGTGTTACAGTGGAGTAAGAAAGAGGTTAGGGTTGTAGGAAATCTTAAAATTTTACCTGTTTGTTTGAGTAATCAAATCAAAATCACTTTTCAAGTGAAGAATTAAAATGTATGTGTGTGAATGGTGGAAAATCAGTGTAGTCGTGATGTTTAAGGGGTAAGTGGCTAGAATGTTGAACTGTATATGAGGTTTATGGATATGTTTTAAGACATCATTTCTTTTTTATTCGATGTTAGTTGTTAGTGAGGGGTCAATTTTTCTTTATAATTTCAATAACATGGATTTTTAACCTTCAATGAGATCTTTTTTTTCTTTTTGTATTTTGTAACCTTGTGTTGTTCAAAACATAGCTAAGAGAACACACATTGAAAAATGTTCATTTCTAGCCCGTGGAAATAGGGAGACCATTGTCACATTCTCTTTCCCGAGGCTTAGCTTGTAACTCACTGCAGATAAATTGTGCTTTGGTTTCGAGTTAGCCTGTATATGCTACTATTTTAGTCTTATGTTGCTTGCAATTCTGATGCATGCACTTACATTAGCGGCGGTTCTTTTAAGCAGATGTACTCATCAGACGGGCAGAAATGTATCAGGATTACATGAAGCAGATCCCAATCCCAAATCATCGAGGTTCTGTGATACCATTTACCTCGTGGATGGGATTGGGAAGATCCATGAAGCAGTTATATGGACAGCCCCTTCACTACCTCACAAATATTCTGCTTAAACAATGGGATCAGTTGAGAATTGGCAGTGAAGACGAATACAAGCCCTTGGACATCATTATTCACCCACACAAAGCCGAGGCTACCATCTGGCTCATCGAAGAAATCCACCGACAAACCTCATCGCATTTTCGTATTGCTAGTCTCTGGAAGGAGGACTCTATGTACAATGGTTTTATTGATCCCATTTTCCCAAGATTACAGCACACATCATGAAGACATGAAACCATTTAGTTTATAGGCTTTGTACTCTATCCTGGAAATAGTTTCACATTTGTTGTACTTTTGGTAAAGCAAAATTGAATAGCTTTGCTTCGAACTTTTTTCTGGCTCTGACTATTTTCCGTGTTATCCATTGGCAGGACGCATCAAGGAGACCAGAAAATTGAATATTTTCTGGCTTTGACTATTTTTGTTTTAAATATTTGCCAACACAGAGCTCTTTACATGTTTTTTCATAATAAATGTTGTTTTTTTGGCTTTGGCTACTTTTTTCTTTTTTTGTAAAAGAAAGTTTTATTCGACAATTTTTCAGGAATTAGGCCAGCATAAAAAAGATATACAACTAAAAAACGAGTTCAGACACTTCCACGATGATGACTATGTGCATCTTCATGCTAACAATAAAAAGACTAAAATAGCTTTCCTCACTCTATACCACTGCAAGAGTCATTGTTGTCATTATGTCTTCTTCTGCACTGCATCTCCGCTGCACTCACGGAAAACGATATCAGCGGGAGTGCCACTTAGGAAACATAGTTTTCTCTCCATTCAGATTGTTCAATTCGTAATGTTTCGGAATGGTTCAATCTGAAAAGGAAAGATGGACATTTATGCAGCGTTGAAACCTTGCTCTGAAAAGTTTGTTATTGAAAACTTATTTCAAGAAATCATATTTTGGAAAACTTGTTCGGAAAAACATCTTATATGTTTTGGAAACCTTCTTCGGGAAACCTTGTTCTAACATCTCGTTATCAAATCTTTCTAAATAAAATGTTCTAAAAAAATTCAGAAGTCACCATAAAAAGTATAACGTGAAGGGTAAAATGGTTATTTTACAGATTATGGAGATGCAGTTAGTGACTAAGGATGCAGAACACAAAAGTCCAGACTTTTTACTGCAATTTTGATATACTAAAAAATATTTTAAAAATCAAAATTAATGTAAAAGAAAAGTCAGTATGCTCGTATCTTTCTACTTCAAATTCAACATCAAATGTTCGTGAAAATAATCACTCCAACAAAGCTTTTCTCAAGTTTGAGTTGATGACATTTCAAAGCCAGAGTTCATGGTATTTGTGGGTTTTTTTATATAACATCAAACAGAGATCTTTCTCCTGCACGTAGTTTTTAATTACGTCAATCTTCTCTCATATTACCATCTCAATAGAAAAACAATCGCCATGTAAATTGCCGAACTCCTAAAAGATACAACCTTCGCCAGCGTTTCACTATGTTTAAAATGGGCTCTTGAGAGGTCATAGAAGGAAATTAATTTTTCATTTTCTAAATTATGCAGTATCGTGGAAATAGGACTGATTAAAATTTCACGATAATATCTCGTTAAGAACCTTATAAATGTGTAATTGAACCAATACACATCTTAATCACTCCAACGTTTAAAATCAATTTTACAGAACCTAAAAAAAAACACAATTTCTCTTTCAAAATTAGAAAATGTTCTCCTAAGATGAAAATTTTAACCTGATTTTCCCTTTCTCCAAACCCTCCGCGCAAAATTACACATGACACCTATATCTTGGGACAGAGTCTTATCTTTAGGGCAGGCTTGTATCTCAGGATAAATCTTACGCAAATTTAAAGTAGCAAGCAAGCCCATTCAATAAAAACGTAGTAGCTTAGAAATTAAATACCCACAATTAGATCAGTTAGATAATACTTTTTCATAAGCAGTTAAATAATTTCTTACAAAATTTATAAAAAAAAAAAACTCCGGCCATATTGTTTAGTATTTTCAAGAATATACTATTGTCCAAAGTCAGCTGTTGGATCAGTTTTTTCTTGCAGACATTTGTTCATTAAAGAATCCAGGTAAGATGTTAGGTCGAATCAATCATATTAGATCAGTCCCATTTTATTTTCAACAAGTAATTCACATTAAAACTTTCTTTTTCCAAGAAAATATGCAGAGGAAACTGCTGCATGTTGAAACTCCTGAAGCCCGAATACATTAACATGAATACAAACCAAGCAATCACTCTTCAGCAGGTTTGGGTGGGCCCTTCCATTTAAAGTTGTCCGCATATGATTTAACCTGCAACCACAAGTAGTATGCATTAACACAGAGTTATATTACTATTGATCGCACCATACTGCCACACGAACAAGGTTGTGAAAGAAACGAACTCCACCGTCGTTCAAACTAACACTTATGTCGTTGAAAATGCACCCAGTTAAAGAAAAAAAATAGTGAAAGATGTTAACCTTCAGCAATGGTGTTTGGCGCTTCTTGACCTGCAACAAGTTCAGAGCTTTTGTTACTCATAATAAAATAAAACCCTAACGGAAAAAACATGACGAACAGCAATGCACAGTCGAGTTTTTTCAATTTAGGGGCCTGATTCTTGAAGCAGAATTAATGACTAACAAACGTACTCTAATGATACACATTTCACAATCGTTTGAAAAACAAGACATGGGAATTCTCCATTACCATATTAAAACTATAGGCATCTCCATTGTAAAAGTCATCCGGGGTCATAAATTTAAAGATCCTGGATTTTATAAGACCTCTCCATTTGAATATGCTGACATGGCAAAATTTTAAGAACTTGAGAATAAGACCTTGGTCAAAAGAAAAAACATTTTTTTGTCTTGAAAACGTTCATATCCAAATAAAACATTAGTATGGGTCTTGTAAGACCCCTCCATTAGAGTAAAAGTGATGAAGAGGACTTAAAAGTGATGTTGCAAACAGTAGGATCCACAAAAAGTAAATTATGACCTCATGCTATGATTCTTACAATGAAGATGACCTTATACAACCTTAGTATCATGATTGAATCACGGGTAAGAAAATAGAAATAGATTCACCAAATATATTAGAGATCACGTAATTAGCAAGAGGTTGGGAAGGAAGTGCTTCCTTCTTTAGAGTTAAACCTCCATTTGTCCATATTCAAGAAAGAGTATGTCTTGTTTTTTATTCCCATTCACTTGAAGAGTGAATGCTATAGTTTACATCTCATACGGCCATGAATATAGCATCTAATGATACCTACGGTCTAGAAAGTTTTCTAGTGTTTTAGTACGATGCTTCTCATTTTTTAATTACACAAATTAACAGGTTTTGTTACATTGGCTATACGCTGTGTATTATCAACAATTTCTTCAGTTGGTGGTAAAATGTAGTCTTCAGCAATTACATATGCAGGACCTTTGAAACAAATAGCTGTGTTCTGAGCTCTATACAGATTACTTTCAATACATTTTCTTTCAAATTCATTAAAATTTCACGTATTGATTCTGCAATACCTACAACGGTTTCATGTGATATTTTCTCTGATTTTCCATGCATATACTGTAACGCCTATTGTATTTGTATCGTTTTGGATTTTCTTTAACAATTTGAGTTTTATATATTCTTTGCATGAACAGATTAGGGGAAGAAGTCAAGGATGGAATGAAGTGGCAATCTTAGAACTTTCACCAGAGATGATGGATTATGCTATGCAAATCACTGAGAAGAACTGAACATTTAACAGATGGGATATCAAGAAGGGATATGTTTTAAAAATGACCAGAAATATATCCTGGATCATATGTGCCAAATAAGAAATTTGCGGTACTAGAGGAAGAGATAGAATGGGAGGGAGATGGAATGTCCTCTGGAGGATAGGCTGCTAAATTTCACCTTGAGTTCATTGTTTTAGGAATTGAAACAAATTCATTTTTGGAGGGGAGGCTAGGGCATGGGAGTATAGTCAAGACCATGCGACATGATCACATAAGCATGGGGCTAGAACATGGGCCACAGTCACACTCATATGTATGTTTAGCAGACAGTTAAGAGTCTTATGGATAATCAGAAACAAAATGGGGAGATCTGGAGTTAACCGAGTTATTGATTGATTGAGGAAGTTAGGGGAGAGTAAAAGGTTCTCAAAAAGGAGGGTTAGGGACCTCTATTCTGCAATAGCTTTTATCTTCGTTTCCTTGTCTCTAGTATTCCAGTGACACAACCCAGAGGCAGATATGGAAGTCTCTGTCGATGAACATTCCATTTACTTTCTACTCTCCTATCCATCTCCATTATTAATTATTTGTTTCAATAAGAACATATCTGTATCAAAAGAAACCTTGAACATTCAAAATATATGAGATATTATCTGTGTTCCAATATTTGAATAGTAAGACATACCGAATATTCCCAACCATGTTTCTCTGCAAATGCTTTTGCCGCTTCTGCACTATCAAAAGTCAAGGCAGAATCACCAACATGAGCATAGGGATCCCCAGTGGATGTCCAGCCCATCAGTGGATTTTCCCACCTACAATTAGTAGAAAATTACTATTTGTTGAGCCATTATTAATGATTACACAACAATTAATCCAATTTAGGATATTCTACTGAAATTGCTAGTAGTGACTCCTTAAACTATTCAAGGATTTCCAGAATCACATGTGCTATAATATAAGTTTAAAACTAAAACCTATAAAAATTGCCATAGTGCATGAGATGTCATGATATCACAAGCTCCCCTCTTATGAATAAGTTTATATCGTTAATTTGCATACAAAAATCCCAAGCATCCCACCTACCCAATTATCAAACTTGATATTGAAGGGGGAAAAATATTCAAATTGTACAACTCAGACATTGATGTTTACAAAAGCAGTGAAAGAATTGTGATAAAGCGAAAGAATATACTTTTGGGTTGATAAGAAGTTGATCTTCCATCTTCCAACCTTCCCAGATCCTTGCTGAGATGCAGTTCTAGCGGGAGAATAAATTACAACCTGCATTGCGGTGTAAGTACAAGACAGAAAGGCCAACAGTGTCACAATGATTAGCAAGTGAAAGTAGGGGATCTAGAGATGCATAAATTATTTCTAAACTGTAAAGTCTGTGTATAGAACATGGAAGAGCCTACTAGGTGATAGTGAAAAGGGCGAAATAAGTCAATCACGAACACTGAATCCCTAGATGATCGAATGATCAAGATTGTCGTCCTTAATATCTCACACTCTCAGTTAATACGCCCAATTGAGCATTGGTCCTTAACCTCTCACAGCTAACACGCCCAATTGAACATTGATATCCTCTAAAATGGTGAATATGGCTGCAGTTGAATCTACCATAACCAAAATGTCTATGCTAAGATTTATCTCTTAAAAATTTGTATAATAACCATAAACATAGATGCCTGATATGCATTTCTAGGCATGATTAAGTTATGGTAATAAATTTGGTGAACTAATGGCAAGGTTTTGTAGAAGGTGATTGAGAGCCTGAGAAATTGAGCGAATCAACGAATTTAAAAAATATATATAAAAAGAGAATAAAAAGGGTAGAATACCCTCCTACGAAGGTGTTCTTGAGGAATTCCAGAAACCATTCCGATCTCGCCTGGTTTGGTTTCGACCAGTGCCTGGGTGGAGAACCGACGGACCATAGTGGCGCGTAGGGCACGTTGTAGAGTATTCGCCATCGTCAAGGAGAAATTTGATTCTGCGCACTAAACAGGGCCAAGTGAGATTGGAAGCAAAATCTCGCGTATTTCATTTACTGTTAGGAATTTATTAGTTCCACCATTTTATATTTTATTACTGGTGGGAATCTGGGCTGGACAATGTTCACAGAGTTTCTTCTTGCACCTCCATAAATTTTTCCTTGCATCCCACTTAAAAAAAATTCTGTTTTCTTTCTTTTTATTATCTAAAAGTCATTTCAGAAAATTAAAAATATTTTAAATTGTGTAATTTAAAAATTATTTTTCTTTCAACAATTATCTATCAAAACTTTAGTATTTTTTAATTTGAGAGAAATGTATGTCTCTTTAAATCAACGCTTGTAATGAAAAACAATTTTACTTTTTTTTTTTGCAATTATTGTAGTAAGTAAAAACAAAAGAAAAAAAAAATCCATAGTACTATGAATCACCATTTATGTTGTCAAAATTTAAATTCAAGCCAAAACAAAAGAGTTATAACAAGAAGTGAAACATATTAAATAAATACAGTCCATATCATTTAAATGGATCACCAAACCTTAACGATTAAATCACGCTAAAAAAACACAGTTACTTTGATAGCAATTTTTTAGAAAAAACTATTTTACACCTTATTTTTTTACTAATGTATTTATTCTGAAAATAACTATTTTAAATAAGAAATATAATAAAAATAAAATTTTACTTTAAAAAAAATACCCTTTTCTACCACCAAGTTACTCTTCTTAAATATGCAATTACTTATACTTTAATTTTGTATGATGAATTTAAAACACGATTTTGTACTAAATCAATTAATTTTTAAGAAGTTAATTCACTTAATAGTCCTTTTCAATTTAATAATTTGATTTAAAAAATTTAATTTAAAAAAAAAAATAGAAGGGCTGACTCAATATTTATCTAACTATAAAATAAACTTTAAAAGGAAACATTTTAAATTGATATAAATACCTTATTAAAACTAAAATGATTTAATCTGGGGATTATTATTTTAAATTTTTTTGAAAGATGTAATCAGTTATTAAATATTATGTACTAATATTAATTTTGAATTTAAAAACAATATTTAATTCTTAAGTTAATTTTTATCAACTATTTTTTATTTAGTGCATGTTAGATTTGTATATTTTTCCAAAATAGTTTTTTATTACATTACCTTTCCGTTTATTGAGAGAACAACTTAGAAAGTGTAGAATATTTTGACGACTAAATCCCCGGTTTAATCAGAAACATTGTTTTGTCAAGGTTTACTCAAGAGACATAAATAGAGACACTTTTTATTTATTTATTTTATATTTCACCTCGATTGAATAAAACTCATATCATGTGTCTCATTCTTCTCTGGTTTTAGGCAAAATCGTTTGGGATTATTCATTTTCTGTGTGTAAATACTTCAACTTTTCCAATTCTCACCGTCGTCCGGTTATTCGGTACATCTCTCTCCAGCGATTCTTTCAATTATTTTTCACCCTTTGGTTTTTAGTTTCCCCCCAAAGAAAGCTGTAATTTTGGCATTCATCAGAAGTATAGTGTGGCATTTCTCTTCCCAGTTGAATGCATGTCTTTCTAGTTATGCAGTTGTGATTTTTTAACTTAAATGTTGGTACTTTGTCCGTCCGAGTTGAAAGGCTGTTCCTTTTCGTTCTCATTCAGTTCAACGTGAATTTAATTCGATGGATTCAATGAAATTTGAAGCTGAGACATTTAAATCCTCAGATTTTGCATTTTGCATAATACATAATTCTAGATCATTTTAGGTTTTTCCCAAGCCACACCTTGCTTTCAGGAGGCTTAATAGCACAGTCATTTCAAGAGTACATTGCAAAATTGTTTCTGCATGGTTCTTACAATGTTACAATTCACTTTACCAGTTATATATTAGAACATCGGGGTATTAGGGATGACATTGAAGTGAATATTTATGATTTATCTGAGGAGTTTATTTATTTGATTGATTTCTTGTTTTATTTATGAACCTTGAAAATAACATGTTGACAAGTGAAAATATTTATTTTCTTGTTGGGGTTGTTTGGTGGGCAACAGTAGTCAATTTTTTTTCTTTTTCAAAGATGCACTAGTAGAAGAGGGAAGTACCGCATTCCCTTTTCCTCTAAAGTTGAAGCAAAGAGTAGTCTGTCATAAAAGCGGCAACCTTTCCTTCAATGGGTGCTCCTAAGCAGAAATGGACTGCAGAAGAAGAAGCTGCTTTGAAAGCTGGAGTAGTCAAACATGGGGCAGGAAAATGGCGCACCATACTTACAGATCCTGAATTTAGTGCTATTTTGCGCATGCGTTCAAACGTAGATCTTAAGGTATGTCTTTGCCATAGCCCAGCAGCTTGTGGGAAGTGTTGCATGAAGGAAGTTTTATTCTTCTATCTTTTTTTATCTGGTTGGGAAGCTTATAATTACGCTAGCCAAATGATTATATGTACATGGCACCATAAAATCAGTATTTAATGTTACTTCCCTTTGCTACAATATAATTTCCAAAGTTTTGCTGTACTTGTTTATATGCTTTTGAACTGTGAACAGGATAAATGGAGGAATATAAATGTCACAGCAATATGGGGATCCCGGCAGAAGGCAAAACTTGCTCTTAAGAGGAGCCTACCTGCCCCCAAAATTGACAATAACCATATGGCTTTAAGTACTGTCGTTCATCATGATGAAGTTCTTGATACTAAGCCTTTAGCAGTTTCTGGTGGATCATTGCAATCTCCTAGTTTTAAAGAACAAATATCAAGGTTACAGAATATTCAGTTAATATATCTGCCATTTATCATCTAGATAAAATAAATTATCTGTGACTGTGGTCCTGGAATTGTTTAATTTTGTTGGTGAATTGTGTCTGGAGATTTTACACTTGTAGACGTTACATCCCTTACAAGTTATTTGTTTTAAGAGAAGCTGTGTGCTGTTTCCCAACTTTTGCAAATGAATACATTACCGGACTTTTCTACATTCATGTGTTGTTATTTCCAATGTGTCTTTCTGTTTTAAGCATGGCGATGACATATGAAAAAGATGGTTTTGTTACCTATCTGGAATAACGAAAGAAAAGAGGAATAAAAAGATCATGGATCATGTTAGCTATCTAATGGGTCGCTACTTTTGCATTTTTGAGGGGAAAAATCATATCCTATGTTAGATAATTATTTGCTTGCAATTCTTTTAAACTATTATTTGAATATCAGAAAATTCAAATCATATATGTCACCATGTACAAATATTTCTATCTCTTACCTTTTTGTCTTTTTTATTTTCTATGCATGCATCTAAAAGATACACCTCAAAATCAAAGGGGATAACTTTTTATGCTTCCTGTAGGAAAATACTATAAATAATTAGCAATGATTTGTACTTGGACTCCTTTTCTAAAGGAATTCATGCCTATGTATATTTATCTTAATGTTCTCACGTTCCAATGTGCATTAATTCTAGATTAAAATTTCATGGCTGTATACATAGGTTCTAATTATAAGTTGCAACTGTAAATATTTGTAAACTTTTTTCCTGTTTGATGTTACTTCTAATAACATTTCATCTTGTTCTGAATGTTGAAATTATGCAGCAATATATACTTTTGACTTATGAAAGCAATGATGGTGTCAGGTTGGTGGATAATCATATATTGGAGGCCATTGTCAACATGAAGGAGCAAAAGGGTTCTGACAAAGGTGCCATTATTTCTTACATGGAGGTATTTCTACTTGACTTTTCAAATGATTGTAAAATCTAAACATCAATGAATGTTATCATCCCCTTAAGTAACCAATAGTTTCTTTTTTTGCCATGTTATTTAAGTATTGACTGATGTCTAACATCAAATAAAAAATATTTATTGATATGATGATTATTGTCATGTCAATTGTTGTTTAATATCTTTTTGTCAGAAAATCTTTTTGCGTAAAACATAATAAAAACTGTTATAGTTTTTCAAATACAAAATTTAATTAATATATAATAAATTTAACAGCAGAATATTTATTATAAAGTTTCATATTATTCTATTATCACAACTTTTGACAGGACTAACTCCGCGTCTCATGTTTCTAGAGTTATTATTTTAGTTAGTGATCATGAATATGTGCTTTAATATATGTCTGTTTTAGTTGCATACACTATGTGATCTCATTTTGTCTGCATTAAACTGGCAAGTGACAACTGTTAGTTGTTTTCTGTCTTCAATGGTTAAAAAATAGCATAATTCAACCCATCATACTATGCTATATGTTGCATATATTGTCTTTGGAAATGATCTGTAATTTACCTTTAGAATATTGGTGAATTGTCAATACAGCTAAGCAATATAATGACTGTTTACATGTCTGCATATGTGCATCAAAATTCAAAAGTAATTTTGGAATTTTTTCATGTGTTTAGGAAAAGTATCGGTGTCCACCAAATATCAGTAAATTACTGTCAACCAAACTGAAGCATATGGTAGCAAGTGGCAAAATAATCAAGGTAGTTTTACTGTGAGAAGCTCTGCCTGGAAACCTGCATAATAGACACAGTCAATCTGGTTTGAAGGCCGTATTGAAGTTTTTCATGTATGAAAGCAATAAATATTTGATGTTGCTGAAAGTCATTAAAAGAAAATGATTGGCAATGAAGTTAATTGGTTATATCATGTTAAGACTGAGCAATTGGAATAGGAAACCAAATGGTGTTAGATTTTCTTAGAACTGACAATATAATAGAAGATTGATATCTGAACAGTGTTCAAATGGTTCCAAGCACCTTACAATCGTCAAAACAGAAATAAAGGAAAACCTTGAGACTGAGAGATACCCCTCAGTTCAGCCTTGCATCAACCACTCAATTGAGCTTTTTAATAACCTCCTGTTATTTCCTTCCCCCCTGCCACCTACTTAATTGCCATTTTGTCCATTTTGTTACTTCCCTCTCTTTCCCTCTTCCAAATTCCATCATAGCTGCCTTAATCAGTTCCATACTGCCTTTGGGGCCATATCACACTCTCCTTTCTTTTTCTCCTATTTAATTGTGAAATGGGCCTAGCAATTGCAATGTGCATAGATGGGCACTATCTTAGGGAGGAGAGTTCTATTTGAGTTGATAAATTGCCCCATACAATAAACAGATATTCCTTTGACAGGTTCGTTTGGCATCAAAATTCAATATATGATGAGTTGATCATGTGTATGACATATCTGTTGACAGGAGAAGCATAAATACAGGATAGCATCAAGTTCAGTTGTCTCTGAG